ATTTTACTCATATATGCAATCCATCACTGTCCATTTTCCCCAAAGAAACTTCAACAAACAAAACAAAACATAACGTAGCTCAACCAATCCATCAAACACAATGCAAGCAAACACCCAATTCAATCCCTTCCCACTTACCAGTCTCCTCATCGGCACGAGATTTCCAGCCTTCGCATCTCTGAGAAGTTCCCCATTGCATTCTGTAACACGTGTTGTGCTCGATCACCGGCTTTCCGCTCCAATCCCCTTTTAGCCTCGGGTTAAAGTGCAAAATCCTCGGAGGATCCTCGTCCTCCACTGTCTTCAAACCCTGCAACTCCATCATAAACTGCGATACCATCACATACTGCCCTTCCTTCAGCAAAGAAATCTTCGGGTCCGTCTCAGCATGAGCCACCCTCGGTTTCCCCACAACCGTCATGTGGGACCCTAACGTAAGCCCACAGGGAAGCACCATAATTTTCCCATTCTTCAAAAACTCCTCCCCACCGACCGATATGGAGTGGGGGCACGGCTCGGGTTTGGTACTGGTACTCCCCTTGCGGCCGAACACCCGATGGCTGCCATTTTTTCCGGCTGATTCGAGCTCCCGCCAGAGCTTCCTGCCGATTTCCAACGCGTCCTTGGCGGCCTTCGAAATCCCGATGTCGGGGCCCGAATTCGCTATCCCGGCGGTGAGGTTCAACCGGGAGAGCGGCGATTGGAGGGTTTCTCTGATTTTTCGCTCCGGCGATCGGTAGGGGAGGTCGAGGGGGCGGACGGGGGCCTCTTTCTCCTCCGTGTCCTCCTCGCTCTCGAGGAGAAAGGGCTTCGTGCTCAAAATCCCATTACTGCTGCCGCTGCTGAAAAGTAAACCTTCTTGAGAAACCGAACTGAACCCGTTTTTGAAGACGAAGGGGACTTCGAAACAGACCAAGATTATGTACAGAAGCGCGAAGAGGATGAGCACGCGGGTCGATCTCTGCCGGCCCACTGAGAACAACAGGTCCAAGCTTGACCTTTTCATATTCTTTTGTTTGATTTTTTCAATTCCAGTTTCAAATTCAATACAGAAATGAGGAAAATTTGTGCAGCTGAAGCTCAACCGGAGCTTGTGATCATGAGAGAAGAAGGTTGTAGAAGGTGTTTGAGATGGAGAAAGATTGGATTTTTATTTATTATTCTGAAACGTACAAAAAACCCCAACTAAGAAAAGTGAATATGGGAAAAGAAAAGAGACGTTAGGTCAGCAACGCATAGCCGCTGCAACCGCGTAGAGAGAGAGAGAGAAGGGGGAGGAGAATAGATACATAGCATGTATGTATAGGTAGAGAGAGAGAGAGAGTGTGGTGGTGAGGAAGATTCTTGGGGTCGGTCACTTTTTTTGTGTGTTTTTTAGTGAAAGCCATTTCAAATTTTAAAAGAAAGTGATAAAAAAACAGCATTTTTTTTTTTTTAAAAAAAATATGGTAAATAATTTATAATTTGGAAATGAATATTAATTTGTATTCTGTAATGGAACCATCAGATGACTCGACTTACAGAGTCATCCACACTTATTCACCAATAGTATATTGACAGTATTCTACAATAAATACAATTTGGACAAGTGTCAATACATAAGTGGTGGATGACTTCGTAAAAAAAACTATCTGATGATTACATAGAATTTTTGTTATTTGTAAGAGGAAAATATTGTATTGCAGATGCATGCAACATCATACAACGCATGATTCCACTAAAGAAAAGTACAGAATGTATAAATTTTAGAAATATTTTTTTTGTCTAGAAAATATTAAAAGAAAATATATAGATTCTGTGGATAAAATGGAATGAAGAATACTACATATTTTTGTGATGGTGAGTGAATGTAAGTACGCGTGATTTTAGTTTTTTCTTTCCAAACATTAAATATTCGACTAGAGTTATTTGATATGATCTTAAGTCAAAGGAATAATAAAATGTAACTTATTTGGTGTTCGTAAATATTGTCCTCAACTATAGTATCTACACGGTTCAATTATTCAATGCACGATCTAACAGATTAACACCAATGGATTCGATGTCCCATTTCATGATATCGTGATTTTCGATTTTTAGATCTCACAATGTCCTAATCTCGTGGTTTGACCAGATCATTAGTTTTCTTAACAACAATAACTCAAGTAAATAATCAACTTAAAGATTACAAATAATCAAATGATTATTAATTATATTATGGCAAATATGTAGCAAATACGCTATAGCAGATTTTTATAGTCAATATATAACCTATAGTTATAATGGTCTGAAACAGAAAATGTAATACATAATGCACCCAAAAAAAAAAATTTGAAATTAAAATAATATATCAATTAAATGAACATTAAATTGAGACCGGTTCTTGGGTGGTAACCTATGATTTGGAGGATAGTGGGCAAAAAATTAATTTCTATAAGTAGGTTTTATTTATTTATTTTATTGATGAAAAGCAAATTTCAGTTGCATCTGAAAATAAAAGTTCGGTCATTTTTCCGTAAATAAGTTATGTATGTATATTGACTTTGCTTTTGACCCGGGCGAGGGGGCACTGGGGATGGGATTAATATTTTATTTTCCTTTGATAATTTAAATTAAGGGAAGGCTTGTTTTTATTTTAAATACTAGTACAACACCCGTGTATTACACGGGATGCTTGTTAAAAAATTATTCTTAAATTTTAAAATTAATGAGAAAATTATTTAAATTTAGTTTATCTTTTTACAAAAAAAATATATTACTATATATTTTAGAATGATATGTGTTACTTATGACTTACATGTGTTATATTATATTAGTTTTTATAACTTATATCATATAAATACTTAAAATATAAATATATTAGTTGATAAATAATTTTATTTTTCAAATTAATATTAAAAATAATTTTATTATTGTTATAAAGATAAATATAAATTATTTTTCTTATACATACAATATGGATGTTAAATCGAAGCTCATCAAAAGAAGATTAATTTAATATATTACATATGTAAAACTGATAAGAAATACAAAAGTTATTAACTTTTAAAATATATATACAATTCAATAGTTATAATAAGGAATGATATTAAAATGCAATTAATACATGTAACATGACCATAAATAATCAACATATTTACGGTAATCCGAACCTAATTATTTTTGGTTTGGGATTAAATTAAAATTTATCCAAGCCTAATAACGAAGCATGTAATTTTGCCACATATGATTCGAAGCACCAGAAACAGCCACGTAGGCTCAGCGCATTCTGAAATTATATATAGGGGGGTTTATTTTTTTTCAAATTTATATTATATTATTAATCTTTATAATTCAAGACGAGCTGATAAGTGATTGAATTAGAGCAGTTTGATTAGCAAATTATTCAATATATTTAGTAAATAATTAATTACTTAATATGTAAAGAGAACTAATTACTTAACAAGTAACCTATGAGCCCACGAACCACCCGGCCTTTACTAAACTTCCTTATAGCGAATAATTGATCGGGTTAACTAATTGTTCAAAATATTTGATAAATAACTCTGTTTGATATGCAAAAATAACTATTTTACATTCATATATATTGTAAGAAGTTGATTCAAAATTGATAGTTGATTTAATTAGCAACTTTCACCTAGTTGATTATACAAAACGTTTGGAAAATATATTTAATTCTTTCATATATAATAATAATTAATCTTACAATTATATATTATAATATTAGAATACCACTTGTGAGTTGTTCCATATCGTTCATACATGGAAAATAGACTGACGCACCTTATAAGTTTAATGAGCTACAACTCCTTCCACCAATTGGTTTTGAGATGGAACCCCACTTGAGTTTCATATGAGTTTTCCCCGTTTATGGTGTGCTATGTTAGTGGAACCGCACCCGTTTTCCCAAGAAGAAGCTTATATATTGAGTCTTTTCAACAGTAACTTTTTTATACAAATAAAATGTTCAAACCAGTTATTCCGTGTCTAACAAACAAATGAGAAGTTATGACCATTCAACATTTAACTTTTAACCCCAAAACCTTGTTTAATATAGTCATAATTATTGATTAAAAATAAATTAAGTGTAGTGATAAATTTCAAGGAAATTAACTCGCGCCTTTTTCTCCCCCCAAAACTCGCGCTTTTGATATTGAGGGTTTAAGACATTACTTGGCACAAGATTAAAGTATAAAAACTATATTACTATTCTAAAGTGAGTAAAGAATAATTAAATTGGTCTTAATTAAGTCTTAAACATAGTTAAACTAGTAATTTTCTAGTAGAATATATGGTAATTTCGGACTAAGTATTTGAAAATAAAAATGAAAGTAGAGAATAATCAAAAGTCAATGAATTCAATTATGAAATCAGTCTTTTTTTTTTTTTTTTTTTTGACTTTTGCCTTCGTGGACCATTTTAAAATTGATGTTGGTCATGTTTTTTAAACCACATTTTCACTAAAAGTTAATGATTTGACTTAGAGGAAATGCCATCAAATATAATTTATAAATATTCATATAATTCACTGATCAAAATAGTTGATATGATTCATTGGTCAAACCAGCCGACACAATATGCTAACAGCTAACAATGTTGATTGTTAAACAAGGTTTTGTCGAACAGATTCAATTCAAAGAGGACCAAAACGAAAACATGACTTTCTTAAATGTTTGTTTAAAAAATAAATATTTTATTAAAATATTTTGTATTGGGAAGAATATAATAATAAAAATATTTTATTAGAAAATTAGCAGACGTTTTACTTTTTTTTTTTTTAAAAAAAAAAAAAGAAGAATCAGTTTTGAAGTTGACTGGTTTTGTAAACAGTTAGTCGCAGTCATAAATGCCGTCTTAATCTATGCACTGTTTTTTTATCTCAACCGAAGAGAATTTGATGATATTCATGACGTACCATATAAATAAATATATGTAAGTCAAATTCTTCCAAGTATCTAATTAACTTTCCGGGCAAAATTTCATTTTTTGGCCATTATATTGATTATTTTTCAGAAATGGTCCACTAATTTGACAGATATCAAACTTGATACAATAAAGTGTAAAATTCATCATTTTTTGTCCATAAGCCTACGTGGTGTTTTATCGGGTGAATGCGTGGACAAGTTTGATGTCTGCCACGTAGGCTCGTTATCCAGCCCGAGTGATTAATAGACCTAAAATGATGAATTTTACAACTTATTGTATCAAGTTTGATGTCCGCCAAATTAGTGAACTATTTCTGAAAAAATGGCTAATATATAGATTAAAAATGAAATTTTACCTTAACTTACGATAAACATAATAATTGCTCTAATTTTCACCATAATCAGCTCCATAATTGTTCTAACTTTCAAATATAATTTCGAATGGTGGGTGTAAATCAAAGTTCATGGATATTTTTAGGTATAAATTATAATTTATTCAATTTTATTTTTAAATAAACAAAATTAATAAATCTATTCGTATTGTTGACCTATATATAGCATGAGCTAAGCACGCGATACATCCATACTTTTGAAAACCGATCGAGTGGTCATCCATAGTATTGGTTCTCAACCGATTTAATTTATCAGAATTAATTGGTTAATACACTTATTTTTTCTTCTAATTTTTTTTATAAAATATTTAAATATATATTATAAAACATAGATTTAAATATATTGGATATGTTTAACTCACCACAACATTTGTTCAGGCATTTATAATTTTTTTAAAGGGGAAATTCTAGTGTAGGGCTTGATTTTTATGTATTTGTTGTAATAAGGTCTGAAATTTTAACTTTTTCATTTCAGGGTTTGAATTTTAAGTTATTCTCTATAAAAAAGCTTATTTTTACATTATAATTTTCAATTTAAGACTCCAACTAACTTTATATTTTTACATAAATATATAAACCAAATACTATTACTTTAAAATTTATATTTTAAGTAATTATAAATATCTGTAGTTAAATTACTTTAGTTTATTTTTCTAAAATATTAAATTTTTTAATTTCATCACATATTTAGATTAAAATTAAATTAAATT